ATCCTTCTGAATTCAGGAAGAGTCCAGTCCGTGACCTGATGGCCTGCCCAGCACCCTGGCCCCCAGTCAGGGCATAGGCCCGGGCCCTGCCTTCCCGGCCCTGAGTGGGGTGCAGCCGGCCCCTGGCAGCAGTGGGAAGGGCAGCCTTGGGGACGCTCCCATGCGAGCCCGCTCCTGACCAGCCCTGGGAAGGCACCAGGCCCTGCAGATGGCCAGCCGGCGGGCCTGGGCCACGCTCTGCTGGACTCCGTCCGGGAGCCTGCCATCTGTAAAGAACACAGGGGGCCTGGGCCCACCCGTGGCCAGGCACAGGCCTGGGCCCTGGACCGTGCCGCCCGCCCGCTGTGGTGGGCGTGAGGCGGAGGGCGTGCTGGGACCGGGTCTGCTCTTGCAGAGACGCCATCATCACCACCTCGGTCAACTCCCTGACCAGCTTCTCCTCTGGCTTCGTGGTCTTCTCCTTCCTGGGCTACATGGCCCAGAAGCACAGCGTGCCCATCGGGGACGTGGCCAAGGATGGTGAGTCCGGCGCTCACCAGCGGCCGCAGAGCTGGCCCAGGCTCTGGGGCAACGGGGGCGCAGGCCGGGCCGTCTCGGGGTGCTGCTGGCCACTGGGGCCCGGACACTGCGCTGGGGGCGGGCGCCGAGGCGCAAGGCAGGTCACGCGGAGGCAGCCAGACCAGCCGCCGGCCACCTCGAGGCCCGTGCCAGACGCCGCACACCAGCTTGGCGGGTTTGGGGCACCGAGACACCTGCCCTGACCCGCCCGCACCCTGTCTGCACCCTGGTGGGAGGGGGCCGGGCATGGTGTGGGCCGGGGTGAGGACCGCTGGTGCTGGACGGCCAAACTCAGCCAGCCCGGCGCCGGCACCCACCGCAGCCCACACTCGGGGTGGCCGCGCCCTGAGCCAGGCAGCAATCCTGGGGACCCGCCCCTCCAGGGAGGCGTGTGGCCCCGTCCTCGGACCCCCTGGGGGCTGCTCCTTGCACCCGGACACCCTGCGGTCGGCGCCCCGCTGCGGCTCACTGCAGTCTGAGTTTTGAGTTGAGAGGGGGCGGGATGCTGGGGCACCCCGTGTGTGCCCAGCACTGGGGTGGCGGGGCGCACTGGGGCACCCTGCCCGGGCCCAGTGTGGGGTGGTGTGGGGCACTGGGGTACCAGCCTGGGAGTGGAGCTTAGCACCCCACATGAAGCAGGAGGCAGCTGGGGGCTCGCCCGCCCCCCCGGCCGGCGGGGAAGGGCCGCAGCAGCTCCCGCCTGAGATTTACTCTGCGGCCTCTGCCCGCCTCCTGCCCTTTATTATGATAAACAGCAATAAGGCAGCCCCTGCACCCCGAGTCTGCTGGGGCTGAGCAAATGTCAGCAGCTCTGCTCCTGGGGGTGTTGGCCGGCCAGAGGCGAGGGCGGGCCAGGCCCTGCCCAGGCTGGCCCTGCTGGCTCCAGCTTCGGCCTCACCGTGCCCCGGGCAGGGCTGGACTGGAGTGAGCCCCTGGTCAGAAAAAGTGCTGAGAGCCCCAAGTCCAGGTGCCCCACAGGCCGGCAAGTGGGGGGACAGCCTGCACGACTGGCCGTGAC